CCAACCATTAATGTAATTATCAGCTCTTGGGTGTACCGTTTGATCAGTTATTATTTTGTCTTGGTTTCTTTTTGTTGCGGAGTAGAATTTCGTTGGATGCATATACCACAATTTGTTTACTCAATTTCCCATTTGGTGGACGCTTTTGTCGAGTTATTAGTTACTGTGAGTAAAGGGTACTCTTGAGGGAGTTATTTGTAGATATGGATTTTCTTCACTTTTGCGTTAGGGTTAGGACAGATGTGTTGTTTTGCATGTAGTTGTGAAAGGGATTAGCTTAAAGAGCAGTGCGGGATAGGGAGGTGTGGCTATCGAGACTGTAGAGTGTTTATGCTAGTAATAGCGAGCTGTTTCTAGGTTCCTGGGTTGCTTTTATCAGCCATGTGCCTCCACTCTCGCTTTTCCATTGTCTTATGCTGTCATCTGTCAAACACACGTGGCCGCTGGTCTGGGTAGGGGCGGTGCATAGAGGAGCCTCAGTGCGAAGGAAGCGGGCAGCTGCGGGCAGTGTTGGTTGGTAGAGCTGGGCTGTCGGTGGTCCCACTGGAGAGAAGGGAGGTGGCGGTCCAAGTGTTTCAGTAAATCTCTCCCCTAGGAGGTGAGCTTGCATTGAATCCTTGGATTGAAGCAGAAGGTCCTTGCCTGGCGCTCAAGACGGGGAAGAGAATGCTAGGCAGGCATGTAAGCTTCAGTGGACGAAACAGAGAAAAAGGTTAAAAACAGAAAAAGGACGCAACAGAGAAAAAGCTTTATGGAAATCGCTTAGAGTAGAAAAAAAGAGCTTGGCGTGTGAGTGCTGGAGACTTTAGGCTCTTGCTGCTACTGGCCACTAGATGGCAGGATAACTCCAATTTGAGGGTAGGAAAAGCCTGGCACAACCCATTGTCCTTTGAGGAAAGCTGCACTCCTCCACGGCTGGGCTGGGCTGAGGGGCAGGACATGTTCACTATCTCAAGCCAGGCTTGCAGGGGGCTCCCAGGAGCAGCTGGAGTCAAGTAAATGACAGCGGTTACCAACAGTCCAGATATTTTGCAAGTACTTTGTGTGGGGTCTGAAGCGGGTTCTTCACCGTCCATTTTTCTCCCATTGGGCAGAAAATCTAGGCAGACAAGGTAAAGGCTCTGGAACATTCAAGGTCTAGTGGGGCAAGACGCCTCACCCAGCCTGTGGAAAGAAGTCTCTTGAGACTGACTTCACGATTCCAGATCCCACAGAAAGTTCTTTATAATAGCACAGTCTAACACTTCTCTCTTTTCCCTTTATTCCTAAAACGTATCTTGGAGTTTCAGCATCCTCTTCTACATTAGGGCCCAGTTAGTCACACTGTGATGTGACTGAATGTCTCTGCTCATACGACTTTGTTAGGTTCAGTATGCAAGATAGGGTGACTCTGTAGTATTTATGGAAAGTGACTCCTGACATATGTCAGAACACATGGCCAACTTTAGGACAGTGGTCACTTTTTAAAGGACAGATCTCACAGCTTGAAGACAACAGGCCAGGCCTCTCTGCAGCTGTCTGTGGGACCAAGAGTTAAGAAGCTAGCTGTCTGCTATGGCCTCCGAGTATTCCCTGATTAATGGTCCTGACCAGTACTCGGCTCCTCCATCCTTTCTGTCGTGGATGCTGCATTGAACTAGTTCATATGTATGAAACACCTCTCCATGTCCTCAAAACTTACATAAAAAGCTCACGTTTCCCTTGTTCTTGGGATTGCTTTGGAGACTTTCTCTGAAGAGGCTTCTCTGCTCCCCCCGTGCCTCTCCTGGCAGCTATCTTTGTCTCTCCCTCTTTTATGCTCTTTTAAAATACATTTATGCCAGACGGTGGTGGCGCACGCCTTTAATCCCAGCACTCGGGAGGCAGAGCCAGGTGGATCTTTGTGAGTTAGAGGCCAGCCTGGGCTACAGAGCGAGATACAGGAAAGGCTCAAAGCTACACAGAGAAACCCTGCCTTGAAAAAACCAAAAAAAAAAAAAAACATTTATTTTATGTGTATGTGACTGAATATATGTACACCACATGCATGCATGAGCTCATGGAGGCCAGAAGAGGGGGTCAGATCCCTTGGAACTGGAATTACAAGTGTGGGTGCTGGGAATTGAACCTGGGTCCTCTGCAAGAGCAGTAAGTGCTCTTAACTGCTGGGCCACTTCTCCAGCCTCATCCTGTTCTCACTCATAATAAAGCCCCTCTCAATTTATTTTTATTTTTTTTATTATTTATTTATTCATTTGAGATAGGGTCTCACTCTGTATCCCTGACTCTCCTGGAACTCACTCTGTAGACCAAGCTAGCCTCAAACTCACAGAGCTCTGCCTGCCTCTGTTTTCTGAGTGCTGGGATCAAAGGCTTGCACCACTACACCTGGCATTATTTTTTAGTGTTTGAGACAGAGTTTCACCATGTAACTCTGGGTGGTCTGAAACTAATAACTCTGTGTGGCCTGGAACTCATTATGTAGAACAGGCTAGCTTTGAGCTCACAGAGATCCACCTGCCTCTGCTTCTTGAGTGTTAGGATTAGAGGTGTTTTAAAGGGAAGCCTTCCCCTCCTCTTCTGGGGTCAGTTATGTGATCTCCACCTGCTCCCACGTATTCAGTGACAGTATGGAAAATGGAAGAGGAATGAAATTAGAATACAAATATCATGACTTGAGCACGTCCCTAGGGCAGGGAGAGGGGTGATTGTCAACAGAACCCTCAGATAGGTTGAATACTCCGGGGAAGAGGCATGTATGCGTTTAGAATCCCAAGAAGGTGATCAGACTCAAGAGGGGTAATGGCCATGTGGTACATCTTGTAACAGAGAGGTTCAGGTGGCCCCTAGGTACTCCAAGACTCAGCGTGATTAGCAACTGCCTCATGACGGCACGAAGCAGGCGGTGCCCCCGACATCTCTGTGTGGGGGCTCTGGTTCCTACTTAGTGTGACCAGTGCTGTAGGAATCAAAGCAGAACAGACCATGATGGAGCAGAAGGCACTGAATTAGTACACTGCACACAGTAAGGGTTGAAGAACTGTTTTGTGAAAGTTTCTTTCAGGTGTGTGTGTGTGTGTGTGTGTGTGTGTGTGTGTGTGTGTGTGACAGGTGTGCACAGTTGTAAATTCTCTCTCTTTTTGATTTTTTTTGTGTATATGTGTAAGTATGCATGAGCATATGTGGATCAGATGCATGCAGGAGCCCTTGGAGATCAGAAGAAGGTACTGGATCACTTGGAACTGGAGTTACAGGCAACTGTGAGCTAAACAATGTCCTCTTCAAGAGCAAGTGTTCTTAACTACAGAGCCCTGTTTTCAGCCACCTCTTCTTAAATTTTTTTTTGAAATTAATTTTAAGTGTGTGTGTGTGTGTGTGTGTGTGTGTGTGTGTGTGTGTGTGTGTAGGTTCATGTGAGTGTGTGTGTAGGTGCATGTGAGTATGGGTGCCTGAAGAAGCCAGAAGAGGATGTTGGATCCTCTGGAGCTGGAGTTAGAGGTGGTTGTAAGCTGCCCAAGGTTGGTAATGGGAAGTGAACTCGTGTCCTCTGTAAGAGCAGTGTGTGTCCTGAACTGCTTAGCCCCCCAGTTAGGATCTTCTACTCTGGATTATGATCGGGATGATTATTGAAGTCTGGAGCTGAGGAAACCCAGTCTGCAGACTCCACTGTGGGCTGAGCATCAAACTGTGTGTTCTCAGCCTCGAACTCTGCGGCCTCCAGTGCTGGAGCCGCCCTCGCCCCTCTGTACAGTGTGGACAGTGTTATTAACTCCCAGGTGTGGTGATGGCTGCGAGCTTGTGGCTGTGAGGACCAAGGTAAACAGTTATTACTGTTGCTGGCAATGTTGTGTTTCTTTCTCTCCCTCTTATTAGTGTGGCCGTCATAGCCGAACAGCGATGGCGTGGATAACAGTTTGGAGCCAGCAGTGGCCACTATCTAAGTTACTAGTCTTGTTGCTGTGACAAAAGACCTGACAAGAAGGGAAATAAGGGGCTGGGAAGATGATGGCTCAGCAGTTCAGAGCACTGGCTACCCTTGCACGGGACCCAGGTTCGATTCCTAGCACCCACATGGTGGCTGACGACCATCTGAGACTCCAGTTTTAGGGGATCAGATGTTCTCTTCTGGCCTTTTTCGGCACTGTACACTCACAGGGGCACAGACAGACATTCATACACACGAGATACAGGCAGGCAGACATTCATACACACGAGATAAAAATGAATAAATCTTGAAGAAGAACTTTGCTCTTGCAGAGGACCCAGATCCATCCCCAGCACCCACATGTGCCTCACAATGGTCTATAACTCAGTTCCAGGAGAT